AGTGGAGACATGCCTCTAGTACATTGGTGGTCAGTATAGAAGTGAATTTGCATTACATTCGTGGAAATTGCCCCCTTACGTTGGTAGTCATTGTGGGAGGTCAGTCTGTCATTGGTCACTGCTCAAGGAATTCCTCAGAACCTCCTGGAGGAACCTGGTTGAGAAAGCCTGCTCTACTCAATTGAACAAATACATGTCGGCATTCCTGGGTCTCAAAGGCAAACTTTTTTAATGAATCCAGCTGGCTGTCTTTCAAGCATTATGATAGTTGTGACAAGAGGCGTGGAGGACTGCGCAGTCACTGCCTGTCATGTATTTATATTGTGCTGCACCAAATCCTAGTCCTACCTGTAGAGACTTGTTCGGGAGGATACAAGCTCCACCAAAGTGACTTCTAATGAGGAAGATTTTTTTTCACTTTTGGAAGCCTGGCGATTCAAAATGAGTTGTGGATGAAAATGAAGAAGCACAGGCCATCAGTCATGATATCCGAAAGTCAGAGCAATCTGTAGATCCAGAAGTACAGGAAGCTGAAGTTGTAAGATGTTAAAGTGATTGTAAAGTTTTTTTTTTTAAATTTTTTAAAACAAGGAACATGTCATTCTTACCTGCTCCATGTAATGGTGTTGCACAGAGTAGCGCCGATCTTCCTCTGCTAGGGTCCCCCACTTGCAATCCTGGCTCCCCCTCCGCTGAGTGCCCCCATAGCAAACCATTTGCTGTGGGATCCTCATGCACTTTCGCTTCCGAGCCTTGCTAAGTCTATTGACACAGACAGCAGGACTCAGCCCTGCCAACCCCCACCCTCAGTGTGTGATTGACAGCAGCAGGAGCCAATGGCTCCTGCTGCTGTATCTGAGCCAATGGAGAGAGCCACTACAAGGTTTACCTTCTGCCTTTATAACCACTTCTTTCATGGGTAGCCATTGCCTTTGTATACTTTTTCATTGTATTGTCATTGGGTTGATTTATCCAGGTTTGTAACTGGTTTTACTTTAACCCTTTTGCTACCAGAGGTGAGCTTCCAAGGAGGAGGGAGGGGGAAACATAGGGAGCTGAGCTGCCAAGAAGGAGGGAGGGGGAAACATAGGGAGCTGAGCTGCCAAGAAGGAGGGAGGGGGAAACATGGGGAGCTGCCAAGGAGGAGGGAGGGGGAAACCTAGGGAGCTGCCAAGGAGGAGGGAGGGGGAAACATAGGGAGCTGCCAAGGAGGGGGGGGGGAAACATAGGGAACTGAGCTGCCAAGGAGGAGGGAGGGGGGAAACATAGGGAACTGAGCTGCCAAGGAGGAGGGGGGGGGGAAACATAGGGAGCTGAGCTGCCAAGGAGGAGGGAGGCGGAAACATAGGGAGCTGAGCTGCCAATGAGGAGGGAGGGGGAAACATAGGGAGCTGAGCTGCCAATGAGGAGAGAGGGGGAAACATAGGGAGCTGAGCTGCCAAGGAGGAGGAGAGAGGAGGAAACCTAGGGAGCTGAGCTGCCAAGGAGGAGGGAGGGGGAAACATAGGGAGCTGAGCTGCCAAGGAGGAGGGAGGGGGGAAACAGCTGAGCTGCCAAGGAGGAGGGAGGGGGGAAACATAGGGAGCTGAGCTGCCAAGGGGGAGGGAGGGGGAAACATAGGGAGCTGAGCTGCCAAGGAGGAGGGAGGGGGGAAACATAGGGAGCTGAGCTGCCAAGGGGGGGAGGGAGGGGGAAACATAGGGAGCTGAGCTGCCAAGGAGGAGGGAGGGGGGAAACATAGGGAGCTGAGCTGCCAAGGGGGAGGGAGGGGGAAACATAGGGAGCTGAGCTGCCAAGGGGGAGGGAGGGGGAAACATAGGGAGCTGAGCTGCCAAGGAGGAGGGAGGGGGGAAACATAGGGAGCTGAGCTGCCAAGCAGGAGGGAGGGGGGGGGAAACATAGGGAGCTGAGCTGCCAAGCAGGAGGAGGAGGGGGGAAACATAGGGAGCTGAGCTGCCAAGGAGGAGGGAGGGGGAAACATAGGGAGCTGAGCTGCCAAGGAGGAGGGAGGGGGAAACATAGGGAGCTGAGCTGCTAACTCACTAGTGGGAGAGGGGGGAGCTGAACTGCTGAGTCAATGCTGGGAGGGGAGAAGGAAGCTGAGCTGTGAAGTTACTCCAGGGAGAGGAAAGCAGGAGGCTTAGATGCTGAGACTTTGCTGGGAACAGAAGGAGCTAAAATGCTGAAAGTAAAATTGCTTCTACTGTAATTTAAGGGCTCTTGCACATGGAACGTTTGGAAAACTCTTCTGAACGATGGAAACTGATTGCTGGAAAACGTAGGTTAAAAAGCGACTGTTTAGCCACGTTTGCATACCGCGTTTATGCGCATTTGCGTTTAGAAGCTTTTTTTTTTTTTTTTTATAGATAATTTCAGGAGACCTCCACAATTGTCCAGAATGCCCTGAAAAACAGTAAAAAAAATTAGCTATTTCAGACATTTAGAGAGAAATAGAGAGAAGCAGAAGCAGAGAGAGTGTAGTATGTGTTGAGATGACCCGTCTTTTCTGGTTGTATTCACTATGGATCCCATCATGGGCATAATGCGGCGCGTTCTAACATTTTATCCTTCACGCGAAACCTGGAACTGACTGCGCTGGGTGTACCGGGTCCATTTGAATACATGGAAAACACTTTGCATGCATTTCTGATGAAGAAAAAAGGCTCTGTACAGCAACTGGATATGGAACAGTTAAAAAAACACTTCTAAATGCAAACGCTTATAACCGCGGTTAGCCACGTTCACAAGCGTTTGGCGTTTGAAACGCTGATAAAATCTACTCGTGAACGCACCTTCTTAGATTGTAAGCTCCAAGGATCAGGCCCTCCTAACCCTCTTGTATTGAACTGTATTGTTGCTGTATTGTCTCCTATTATACTGTAAAGCGCTGAGCAAACTGCTGGTGCTATATAAATCCTGTATATAATAATAATACTCCTGAACGGTTTGGTGCGTTCAAAAAAATGACTGTAAACCCAACTGGCTGTAAACGACATAGTGTACACGGACACATAGGAAAACATGAGGGAGAGTTCAGGGGCTGATGAAAAAAAACGCAGAAAAGCTCCTAAACGTGAGTTTATCAGCTGGAGTGTACATGAGCCCTAAGTATATAAAAGTAGTAATATATTATTATTATTATAGAGTATTTATAAAGCGCCAACAGTTTGCTCAGCGCTGTACATTACAATGGGAGACAATACATGAGACCGTACAGTAACAATACAATAAAATACACGAGGGGTTCGAGGGCCCTGCTCCTTGGAGCTTACAATCTAGGATCTGAAGGCTTATGGTTTTTACCTTTTTAGTGTTTTCAGCTGCTTTTATACTTTTAGCGCTTGCTTAAATATTTTATTTGTCCTAGATTGTAAGCTTGAAAGAGCAGGGCCCTCGATCCCCTCATGTTTTGCATTGTATTGGTATTGTTCTGTCACATGTTCTGTCCCCCTTTGTAATGTACAGCTCTGAGCGAACTATTGGCGCTTTATAAATACTGTATAATAATAATTTGTTACATGAGCCCTAAGGATGAATTGCTCCACAATGTCTGCAGTTACAGAGTTCAGTGAGGCTTGACTGAAAGCCCATTTACTGCTTGTTAAGAATATGTAAATATTGGAATGTCCATAGCCTTCCCACAGTTCTAGTGATTATTTCTTTGTCTTTGCTCAGTACGGGTAAAGTAAAGGTTTCCTTTCGGCATACACTTTGAAATGAAATGTAATACCACGAGTGGCGATGCGTTTATGGATTTTGTCATCTTTAACAGCGCATCTCCGTTGTTAGGAGCAGTAGGCAGCATGTCCTTGGTGGAGGTGGGCAGCATCTTCCTGCCAACTCATCGTCTTAATTAGCTCCCATGTTTATTGGGGGTCTGGGCTCTTCCACAGTGATGGACTGTATGCTCAGTATAGAGTTGGCGGTCCAGTACAGTGAGAAAAATGTGCATGGAATGTAGAAAAAACCTTTCTGGGGGAATTCGGGAGATCTGCCTCTGGCAATCACAACATAGAAGTTCAAACCAATTAAATTTGTAGCTGGAAGCAACGCGCTCAGCAGGATGCAATTCATCCTCCGAACAAGAAATTCTTTTTCTCTCTCTCTTTACTTTAGCGGATAGGGTAAGAGAATCCGACACCACGAGATGAGAAGACTCCCGTCCCTGTCTATGGAGGAGACTCTCCTACAAACAGTTCATTCAATTCTTTCCTTTCACATAGAAAAGAAGTAAAAGAAACATCACTGTACAAGTTGTAGAGAGGCGGACAATGGCAGTGATGTCATAGCCCAACACAGCAGGATAACAGCCCGAGGCCTTCCATGTCATCGAGTCTAAAGATCGACAACCAAATGTAATATATGATGTTGGAAAAGCATTATCGTCGTAATCGGGGATTAGAAACAATAGGGGTCCATGTACACCCGATCCTAGAGGAGTTTAACCACTTCCAGTCCGGACACTTTCACCCCCTTCCTGTCCCGGACAATTTTCAGCTTTCAGCGCTGTCACACTTTGAATGACAATTGCGCAGTCATGCAACACTACCCATATGAATTTTTTTTAGCATTTGTTTGAGACAGATAGAACTTTATTTTGGTGGTATTTATTCACCACTGGGATTTTTATTTTTTTTTGCTATATAAATGAAAATGTCCAAAAATTTTGAAACAAAGTTTTCTTTTGCAAATAAATAATATTTCATCATAAATCTTGGCCAACATTTAATCAGTTATCTTTTTAGCAAAAAAAAATAACCCATTTTAATTTGTAAAAAAAAGTTTACATTTTTATTTTTTTTTATATTATTATTTGTTTTTTTCTACATACTGTCACCCTAGCAGTACAGTGTCACCATGGTGACACTGTACTACTTGTGGGGGGTGACAAAGATTCATTTTTTTTTTTTTTACACCGATTGCTTTTACGCCCATAAAGGATGTAAAATCAATAATTTCTCCTCTCTGGCTGCATTCTTGCAGCCATTGAGAACTTCTGTGTGAGCTGTGATTGGTCACAGCTTGTCACATGGTGCAAGGCTGTTGTGAATAGCCCTGTACCATGTGATCTCTGTGATCATTCACAGATTTCATACGTAGTAAGCAATGATGTCAGAAGTGATATCTTGCTTACTACTCTGCATGTGATCACTGATTGGCCAATCAGTGATCACATGATCGGGACCTCGCACAGAGGTCCCGTACGACGATCGGTGTTCCACTGTGTCCTTCGGACACAGCGGGCACCGGATCACGGTGCTGCGTTATCCCAGGGAGCGCGCACAGTCCACGATGGCGGGTGTCGTTTATGAACGGCAACCCACCCCTGGACTGCCACCGTCCGGCCGTTTATATACAGCGGCCGGACAGCAAGTGGTTAAAGGTGGGGGGGGGCAATTTTTGTGTTGCCTAGGGCAAGCACCAAATCTAAATCCACCACTGCCCCCACCCCCTACCCTGCTCACCTTGTAGATTGGTTTATACTAGAGCAGGGTTAGGCAACCTGTGGCTCTCTTCCTGTTGTGGAACTACATTTCCCATGAGGCATTGCAACATTACAAAATTGACAGTTGCAGCTTTGACTTGCAGAGGAATGATGGAACTTGTAGTCCTGCAACAGCTGGAGAGCCGCAGGTTGCCTACCCCTGCACTAGAGAAAGCAAGCTCACGTTAATTCATCTGATTGGATCATGTGCGTTTTTGCCCCTTTTCACTCTGCTTTACTGCTTGTCAAGTCATGGTGGCTTGTTGTGTAAATAGCCATCTTGTCCCCTAAGCAATAGTCATCGGTCTTGTCCACGCAGACGGCGCATTGATTGAGTTGAGGTGTATAGCCGTTCTCCACGTCGGTCTTTTCCGGGCAGACGGTGCATTGATTGAGTTGGGGTGTACAGCCGTTCTCCACGTCGGTCTTGTCCGGGCACAGGGCGCATTGATTGAATTGGGGCGTACAGCCGTTCTCCACGTCGGTCTTGTCCAGGCAGACGGCGCATTGATTGAGTTGGGGTGTACAGCCGTTCTCCACGTCGGTCTTGTCCGGGCAGAGGGCGCATTGATTGAGTTGGGGCGTGTACAGCCGTTCTCCATGTCGGTCTTGTCCAGGCAGACAGCGCATTGATTGAGTTGGGGTGTATACAGCCGTTCTCCATGTCGGTCTTGTCCGGACAGACGGCGCATTGATTGAGTTGGGGTGTACAGCCGTTCTCCACGTCGGTCTTGTCCGGGCAGAGGGCGCATTGATTGAGTTGGGGTGTACAGCCGTTCTCCACGTCGGTCTTGTCCGGGCAGACGGCATTGAGGTATAGCTGTTCTCCACGTCGGTCTTGTCCAGGCAGACGGCACATTGAGTTGGGGTGTACAGCCGTTCTCCACGTCGGTCTTGTCTGGGCAGACGGCACATTGAGTTGGGGTGTACAGCCGTTCTCCACGTCGGTCTTGTCTCCATTGAGGTACAGCCGACGGCAGGGCGCATTGATTGAGTTGGGGTGTACAGCCGTTCTCCACGTCGGTCTTGTCCAGGCAGACGGCACATTGAGTTGGGGCGTACAGCCGTTCTCCACGTCGGTCTTGTCTGGGCAGACGGCACATTGATTGAGTTGGGGTGTACAGCCGTTCTCCACGTCGGTCTTGTCTGGGCAGACGGCACATTGAGTTGGGGCGTACAGCCGTTCTCCACGTCGGTCTTGTCTGGGCAGACGGCACATTTGAGTTGGGGCGTACAGCCCGTTCTCCACGTCGGTCTTGTCTGGGCAGACGGCACATTGAGTTGGGGTGTACAGCCGTTCTCCACGTCGGTCTTGTCCGGACAGACGGCGCATTGATTGAGTTGGGGTGTACAGCCGTTCTCCACGTCGGTCTTGTCCGGGCAGAGGGCGCATTGATTGAGTTGGGGTGTACAGTCGTTCTCCACGTCGGTCTTGTCCGGGCAGACGGCACATTGAGTTGGGGCGTACAGCCGTTCTCCACGTCGGTCTTGTCCAGGCAGACGGCACATTGAGTTGGGGGTACAGCCGTTCTCCACGTCGGTCTTGTCTGGGCAGACGGCACATTGAGTTGGGGCGTACAGCCGTTCTCCACGTCGGTCTTGTCTGGGCAGACGGCACATTGATTGAGTTGGGGCGTACAGCCCTTCTCCACGTCGGTCTTGTCTGGGCAGACGGCACATTGATTGAGTTGGGGCGTACAGCCCTTCTCCACGTCGGTCTTGTCTGGGCAGACGGCACATTGAGTTGGGGTGTACAGCCGTTCTCCACGTCGGTCTTGTCCGGACAGACGGCGCATTGATTGAGTTGGGGTGTACAGCCGTTCTCCACGTCGGTCTTGTCCGGGCAGACGGCACATTGATTGAGTTGGGGTGTATAGCCGTTCTCCACGTCGGTCTTGTCCAGGCAGAGGGCGCATTGATTGAGTTGGGGTGTACAGCCGTTCTCTGCAGGGACTAACACAGAGCCTTATTAACATGTAAGTAAATAGGCCAAAGCCGAATGAATAATGAATGCTGGGAGCAGCAGAGTGTAATGTGGCGGTATGCATTCATCCACAGGCAGCCTCATGTATTATACATACAATCCTGCACTCCGCTCCCTTGTTTGTTTATTTCCAGAGAGCCACCCCCACCCCTTCTGATGTTCTTCTTAAAGGGAATCCACCATTGCTGTGCAGGTTCTAGATATAGCTGTATATACATTCAGCTTACTGTACATGTGATCCAAAATCTTGGAGCTCACCTCCAAAAGGAGGCAGCGATCTGCTGTGTATAATACAGTGCATGTTATGGATGTGGCAGAAGGGTCGGTTTTAGGGTTGCCATCTCATCCCTTTATTATTGTTATTATTATTATTATACAGGATTTATATTGCGCCAACAGTTTGCTCAGCTCTTTACAATATAACGGGAGACAATACAGTTCAATACAAGAGGGTTAGGAGGGCCTGATCCTGGGAGCTTACAATTCAAAACCCGTACACATATTAATTACACAGGTTCTGGGGCTGATTAAAATGCTAATTGAGCTCACTTGGTGCTTTATCTGCAATAAATTAGCCTCAGAACCTGTGCAATTAATGTGTTTAACGGGATGAGGTGGCAACCCTAGTCGGTTCACACAGTAGACATACAGGCCAGATGCGTTCCGGCATGCAAATTTTTGGCATGTTCTGGTGCTTTTTTTGACGCATTCCGGTGCATTTTTGATGTGTTCCGGTTCATTTTTTCCCTTCTACTTTTCTTCAATTTATATAGGAACATGTGCGTTCTGGTGCGTTTTTTTTTTTTTTTTTTTTGGTGTCTGTGTTTTACCACGTTCCAGTACAGTTCTGTGCAGGAAGAATGCAGCCTGTTCTACTTTTTTTTTTTTTTTTTTGCAAACGGAACGCACTGGAACTGAAAGCACTGATGCGAGCTGTGACATTGACAACCATTAAACCTACTTTCTGTGTGTTTTGGATGCAAAAAAAAGCACACTGAAATGCATGTAGTGTGAACTGGCTAGTTCACTGGTGGTCAACTTGAAAATTATAGAGGGCCTGGAGTGCAGCCTCTGACCCATCTAGAGGGCCACACAATAGCAGCACATTTTTCGCACCTCATCACTCAAAAAATGTTGGGCCTGCTGCATGTTTGCAGTTTATTACAATGTACACTGCAGAAGTTGGAGTACAGTGACGCCCAGGATTGGTGTCAGTGGATGCAATAATAACCCCCAGCATAGTCGTCGGCGGATGCAATAATAACCCCCAGCATAGGCGTCAGCGGATGCAATAATAACCTCCAGCATAGGATTCAGCGGATGCAATAATAACCCCCAGCATTGGTGTTAATGGTTGCAGTAATAACCCCCAACATTGATGCCAGTAAATGCAACAATAACCCCCTGCATTGGTGTTATTGGATGCAATAATAACCCCCAGCATTGGTGTTATTGGATGCAATAAACCCCCCCCCCCAGCATAGGCGTCAGCAGATGCACTAACCCCCGGCATTGGTGTTCGCAGACACAATAATAACTCTAAGCACTGGTGTCAGTACTAATAACCCCCCCCCCCCCCCCCCCCCCAGCCCCCCTGGATTGGTGTCAGCGGATGCAATAATAACCCCTAGCATTGGGGTCAGCGGATGCAATAATAACCCCTAGCATTAGTGTCAGTGAACTCAATATTAACCCCTAGCATTGGTGTCAATGGATGCAATAATAACCCCCAACATTGGTGTCGGTAAATGCAATAATAACCCCCAGCATTGGTGTTATTGGATGCAATAATAACCCCCCCAGCATAGGCGTCAGCGGATACAATAACCCCCAGCATTGGTGTTTGCAGACACAATAATAACTCTAAGCACTGGTGTCAGTACTAATAACCCCCTCGCCCCACCCAACCAACCAACTGTCAGTGGCATTTTAATTTAACCCCCCAGCCGCCACATCCAAACCTCCCTCCTCACCTGTCATTCACCCCCCCCCCCCCACCACCTTCCCTTGATGGTTCCTTTGGTGGTCATGGCAGTGAACTTCAATCCCCCGCTCCATTGATTGTCCGTGAAATGCTGGAACACAGAGTGCATTCCAGTGCCCAGCACCCTGCTGCCACTCTGCTGTCTATATGGTGGCCAGTAGCGTATGGGTCGCACACAGAGGTCTGGCGGGCCGCATGCAGGTCAATTGTTGGGTGCTAGATGTCCTCCAGCCAGGAAATGAGGCGGGGCTCTATCTGACTTGCTGCAGCTTCTTATGCACACTGTGAAAAGCTCACATTGTGCAGTGAAATCAGAGTAAGACATTTCAGTCCAGGCGAGGATCCTGTACTACTGTGCAAGACTGAAGGGAAGGCCGGAGTTCTGCTTTAACATTAGTAGCCCACTGAATTATATTGCTTGCCCGGCGTTGCTGATTATAATTACACTTACCCTATTAAACCTGTATATAGCAGCTGACCCGTATCCCTCCAATCGACACACTTCCCAGTCTTGGCGCACCAGCAGACTACAGATGTGCTTTCAAAATCTCATTAATCCACATGCTTCCAGCCATACAGAGGTGGTTGAGTGATTTGGGTGTCTGTAGACGGGTCCTCGCTGTAGGCTGCCCCCCCCCCCCTCCTCAGATCCTTAGATAATTAGCCATGCCTTCCTCTGCAAAGACTAATTACTTCTCAGTAATTCTTATTTTAGCCTCATCTGTGTGATTATCTCATTTATATTAACAGTCAGATCCTAGAAAGCCAAGACCCGACTCCCGAGACACTAACATGACAGATATAAATGTTTCCTCTCCCCCCCTCCACCACTCCTGTGTGAGCTGTCAGCCGTTCTAGGAGCGCTATATATTTCCCATCCACTCGGAGAGGAGAACGCTCATGGCAGAGGCACCCAGCCCACTGTTGGGGGAGAATCCTTTAAAGCCATATTGCAGCCTTTCTTTCAGTCCTGGACTGAATCGGCTTACACTGATTTCACTGCACACTGTGAGCTTCTCACAATGTACATTGGAAGCTGCTGAAAGTCATGTAGGGCCCGCCTCATTTCCTGACCCTTTCCATCCCAGCCTGACTCTTCCTGGCCCACCCTTCTCCTTCATTGGATTTCAGCTCTTTCTATCTTGGAGGTAGAGATGAGCGAATCGAACCAGGCGAAGTGGAATTCGTTTCAAATATTGGGAAAAATTCGATTTGCATCGAATCCGAATTTTAGCCAACTTCGGGTGCACAAATCGAATTTTTCCCGATCAGCCGGCAAAAGTGTCACTGCAGAGAGCTCCGCTATTTCTGACAGTTCTGACAGTTCATTGACAGCGGTTGAAACATTGTATCTATTTTTTTTCCATTTAAGATACAGATGTTTTTATTCGGAAATAAATAGATACAATGTTTCAACCGCTGTAAATGTGAAGGAACTGTCAGAGAACTGTCAGAAATAGCAGAGCTCTCTGCAGATACACTTTTTGCTGTACTGGAATACTTCTTCTTTTCATTCTTCATCTTCTTTTCATTCTTCTTCTTCTTTTCATTCTTCTTCTTCTTCTTCATTTCTTCTTCTTCTTTCATTCTCTTTTCATTCTTCTTCTTCTCTTCATTCTTCTTCTTCTTTCATTCTTCTCTTCTTCTTCATTCTTCTTTTCATTCTTCTTCTTCTTTTCATTCTTCTTCTTCTTCTTTTCATTCTTCTTTTCATTCTTCTTCTTCTTCTTTTCATTCTTCTTCTTCTTCTTTTCATTCTTCTTTTCATTCTTCTTCTTCTTCTTTTTTCATTCTTCTTCTTCTTCTTCTTTTCATTCTTCTTCTTCTTCTTTTCATTCTTCTTCTTCTTCTTTTCATTCTTCTTCTTCTTCTTTTCATCTTTTCATTCTTCTTCTTTTCATCTTTTCATTCTTCTTCTTTTCATTCTTTTTTTATTCTTCTTCTTCTTCTTTTCATTTCTTCTTCTTCTTCTTTTCATTCTTCTTCTTTTTCATTCTTCTTCTTCTTCTTTTCATTCTTCTTCTTTCTTCTTTTCATTCTTTTCATCTTTTCATTCTTCTTCTTCTTCTTTTTCATTTTTCATTCTTCATTCTTCTTTTTCATTCTTCTTCTTTTCATTCTTCTTCTTTTCATTCTTCTTCTTTTCATTCTTCTTCTTCATTCTTCTTCTTTTCATTCTTCTTCTTCTTTTCATTCTTCTTCTTTTTCTTCTTCTTCTTCTTCTTCTTCTTCGTCGTCGTCGTGCCCCGTGACTGCCCAAATGAGTGAAGTGTGCGGTGATTCTAAGATCGACGGCACTCATCTGCATGTCATACTGACTGACAGTATTATTTCTCTTCCCCAGCAGACTCCAAGGGCATTTAAATTAAAGGTACAGTGTTCTGCACTAATATAAAGGCTCTCTGAAGCCTAGAAACCCTTTAAATAAGTTAAATTCGCGGCGAATAAATTCGCATCGAATCGAATTTCTCCCGCAAATTCGGCGAATCAGCCGAATCGAATTTTTGAATAATTCGCTCATCTCTACTTGGAGGTTCAGCATCACGTTATATAGGGTGATCTACCTGTAAATGCTGCGATGCTTCCCTCTTTCACTGGGCAGTCACAGGCTGGGGGCAGTTTCATGATGACCTGGGCTCAGAGGAAGTGGGTTGAATGATGCCTGCTGTAAAAACTGAGGGCATCTTGTGGCAGAAAAGAAGTACTGCGGAGAGTGCTCTGTGTGACCGTAAATGTTTTAACGGAACCGGACCCCAACTGCACTTGGGTATTTCCGTTAGACTCCCGCTTCCCTGTCCGAACACAGATCCAGGGACACCACTCAGGGTGGGGCAAACCAAATCTAGCAACCAGAGACACATCAGCAGACACCCCCCACCAAGCCAATACACAAACACATACATCCCATAATAGTTTGCTCCCAAGCAAGACACACAATAGAACAATGGGATGCACCACATGGCAGTAAACAATGAACAACCCCCCCACCCCACCTATACATGTCTACACAATATCAGGACATTCCACCTAGACAATGGTTGGATGAATTAGGATCTCACTAAAAGAGCAGACGGTCCGGCTCGTTCAATTCACATGTCTGGTTCAGAATCAGCAACCAGGAATATTCTTCATATGGCTGATAAATATTACTATCACATCTGAAGTAATTCCAACCGCATTCTCAGCGTAGAAACAATGGGATTGCCATTAGTCACCCTGTGCCCCTAAGAGACACAGGGTGACTTACACATAAGAGTGATATGGGGATCTGAGACGGGTCTCCCCACCCCTCCAAAGGGGGCTGTGTTCCATGGGCTCACCACCCAAAGTGACTCCACATTTGTAAATAAGATTTTTTTTTTTTTTTTTTACCTTTTTTAAATGGCTTTTTCAATTTTTATCTTTTTTAGCAGCGCTTTCTGTACAAAGACTTGGATGCAGTGCAACTCACTTAATGCTGTTTATCAAAACTGTCCGCATTCTGATCATGGTGGGATTCATAGTGAATACAACCAGAAAAGACAGGTCATCTCAACACATACTGCCCTCTCTGCTTCTGCTCTCTCTATTTCTCTCAAAATGAAATAGTTAATTACTATTTTTCAGTGCATTCTGGGCATTTGGAAAGGTCTGCTGAGGTTATAAAAACAAAAACGCGCGTAAACGCGGCTAAACTGATGTTTTTTAACCTACGTTTTCTAGCAGTTTCCAGCAGTCAGAAGAGTTTTAGCTGGAGCTGAAGAACGACTCAGATTCTTTTATTTCATGTTTTCTCTCATGGTGACTGTGAAGTTGTGTGAATGCGTCAATGCAGTGCATGTTATCGCAGCTTGCAGAGCTTGGATTCATTGAAGGAGTTTGCCGAAAATGTCAATATTGCAGAATATCCAGCCTCATGCTACATAACTAAATTATTAATGTATCTTAACCACCTCCTGTCCAGCCATTGTATATAAACGGCCAGACGGTGGCAGTGCAGGGGCGGGTGGCCGTTTATAAATGGCCTCCCCGCCTCCTGCTTGTGCTCGCTCCCTGGGAGCGCGCAGCAGCACCGCGATCTGGTGTCCGCTGTGTCCTCCAGACACAGTGGAACACCGATCGTTGGATGGGACCTCTGTATGAGGTCCAGATCATGTGATCACTGATTGGCCAATCAGTGATCACATGCAGAGTAGTAAGCAATGGTGTCACTTGTGACATCATTGCTTACTACGTGTAAAATCTGTGAATGATCACAGAGGTCACATGGTACCAGGCTATTCACAACAGCCTTGTACCATGTGACAAGCTGTGACCAATCACAGCTCACACAGTAGTTCTCAATGGCTGCAAGAATGCAGCCAAAGAGAAATGATTGCTTTTACAGCCTTTATGGGTGTAAAAGCAATCAGTGTAAAAAAAAAAAAAAATCATCACCCCCCACAAGTAGTACAGTGTCACCATGGTGACACTGTACTGCTAGGGTGACAGTATGTAAAAAAAAAATAAATAAAAAAAACCCCATAAATAATATTAAAAAAAATTTTTTTTTTAAAAAATGATAATTTTTGGTTATAAACTAATTTGGGTTATTTTTTTTTACTAAAAAGATAACGGAATAAATTTTGGCCGAGGTTTATGATGAAATATTATTTATATGCAAAATTGTATAAGAAAAACACTTTTTTTTTTTTTTTTCAAGATTTTTGGACTTTTTCATTTACAGAGCAAAAAAAATAAAAGCAGTGGAAAGCAGTGAATAAATACCACCAAAATAAAGCTTTACCTGTCTCAAAAAAAGGCAAAAAAAATTTATATGGGTACAGTGTTGCATGACCGCGCAATTGTCATTCAAAGTGTGATAGCGCTGAAAGCTGAAAATTGGCCTGGGCAGGAAGGGGGTAAAGGTGTCCGGACTTGAAGTGGTTAAATAGAAAACTATCTTTAGATAGAATTTTACTCCAAAAGCATTTTATTAAAATAAATTTGATAAAAATCCCAAAAATCTGACTTCCCTTTTTTTTTTAACCCCTTAGCGCCGACGCCTCCCGGCCCTTTAAGGGTTTCAGAAGCCCAGAGGCAGGGGGGGCTTTTAGGGTCATGTGACTGCCGTGATTCGCCGTCACGGCGGTCACATGATCGGAAAAGGTCCCGATCGAAAGAGGAGATCGGGACCTTTCCTTGATTACCGGACACGTGTGCTGGGAGCGCGCAGGGCGCGCATATGTTTTTTTAAATTGCTCGCAAATGTGCGGGCCGCTCTGTGTCAAGGCCCAGGCGCCGGGAGGCTGTACGTTGCGTGCGGCCGGCACCAAGAGGTTAAACATCGATTTTTATCCACCCTGCCCAGAAGCAATGTAATCCTTGTTGCTTCCGGGTTCATTTTTCGCAGAGGAGATTGGGGAACACGTGGTCCCCAGGCACTCCTTGCTCAAAGTTTTGAAGTGGTTTACCATGGTCCCGTTCTCCCCAGAGGAATGGGAGAGCCTGCGAATGACAGCGGGTGGGAGCCCCTCCCTTCACTGGGTATATAGAAAGGTTTACAACCACCTATCTGGTTGATGTCAGCCGAGTCCTCCCTGGTGAGGAGAGGATCGTGGATGTGGCCTCTGTACGCTCCTGCTGTGAGATAATCTGTCATTGATCTAAGAGTTGAGAAGGAGATCAGCATTGTCCTGTATTGATCTGTCTGCTTCCTGCCCATGTTTTGTATGCACTCTGTCTTCCTTAATGGACTCGGAATGTAGCAGGCCCAGCTCTCACAGGCTGTTGGTCGTTGGTAACAAGCGCACTCTCCATGTTCCATGTTGTGCAGATTTATTTCATCCTAGCAAGTAGAGAATACAAATCGTACAGATGTTCCCTGCAAACCTGGCCTTCATTGTAGCCAAGTATGGTCTTGTTTATTTTAAAAATGTGAACCTTTAATATCACTTTAAATGTGAAGTGTCCCTTGTTTTGATGTCTCCTAGATTGTAAGCTCTGACGAGCAGGGCCCTCTGTTTCCTGTATTGTAACTGTCATGTCTGCCTTCATTTTATAAAGCGCTGAGCAAACTGTTGGCGCTATATATTATTATTATTATTATTATTATACAGGATTTATATATTATTATTATACAGGATTTATATATTATTATTATTATACAGGATTTATATATATTATTATTATACAGGATTTTATATATTATTATTATACAGGATTTATATTATTATTATACAGGATTTATATATTATTATTATTATACAGGATTTATATATTATTATTATTATACAGGATTTATATATTATTATTATTATACAGGATTTATATATTATTATTATTATACAGGATTTATTATATATTATTATTATACAGGATTTATATATTATTATTATTATACAGGATTTATATAGCCAACAGTTTTATTATACAGGATTTATATATTACAAGATTATTATTATACAGGATTTATAAATTATGTATTATTATTATACAATAATATATTATTATTATTATACAGGATTACCGTTATATATCCCCCTTTCAGTTATTATAGAATGCTTTGCTTACTTACACCTTACCAACCGATAGAAGGTCACAGCCAAGGGATATGACAGAGGAATGAAGATGACTTTCATATGAGGAGAAGAGAATGAAGATGACAGCTGCAGGGATATGATACAGACAGAGGAATGAAGATGACAGCTGCAGGGATAGTATACAGAGAATGAAGATCACAGCTGCATCCTATGAGGAGACTTATGAAATCCTGTATAATAATAAAAAGATAATACTGCAACTCCCTCCTCACTGGACTACCGTTACACAGGCTATCCCCCTTTCAGAGACAGATTATGAAGAATGCTGCTGCTAGGACTCCTACACCTTACCAACCGATCAGAAGGTCACAGCTGCAGGGATATGAGGAGACAGAGGAATGAAGATGACAGCTGCAGGGATATGAGGAGACAGAGGAATGAAGATTGACAGCTGCAGGGATATGAAGATCACAGCTGCAGAGATATGAGGAGACAGAGGAATGAAGATTGCAGCTGCAGGGATATGAGGAGACAGGAATGAAGATGACAGCTGCAGGGATATGAGGAGACAGAGGAATGAAGATGACAGCTGCAGGGATATGAGGAGACAGGAATGAAGATCACAGCTGCAGGGATATGAGAAGACAAAGGAATGAAGGATCACAGCTGCAGGGATATGAGGAGACAGGATGAAGAAGAGATGACAGCTGCAGGGATATGAGGAGACAGAGGAATTGAAGATCACAGCTGCAGGGATATGAGGAGACAGAGAAATGAAGATCACAGCTGCAGGGATATGAGGAGACAGAGGAATGAAGATCACAGCTGCAGGGATATGAGGAGACTGAGGAATGAAGATCACAGCTGCAGGGATATGAGGAGACTGAGAATGAAGATCACAGCTGCAGGGATATGAGGAGACAGAGGAATGAAGATCACAGCTGCAGGGATATGAGGAGACTGAGGAATGAAGATCACAGCTGCAGGATATGAGGAGACAGAGGAATGAAGATGACAGCTGCAGGGATATGAGGAGACTGAGGAATGAAGATCACAGTTGCAGGGATACGAGGAGACAGAGGAATGAAGATCACAGCTGCAGGGATATGAGGAGACAGAGGAATGAAGATAACAGCTGCAGGGATACGAGGAGGAGACAGAGGAATGAAGATCTCATCCAACAGTGCAGTCATCAGCAGAAGGGACTCTTCTCCTTCAATGTAAGTTCTGTCCCTTGTGCTGTGCCTGGCTTGGCAGTGGTAGAGGGTGTTTCTCCAGCACTGAGGCCGGGATCTTCAATGCTTTCCACTGATAGTCACTCTGCACTTCAATAGTAGAGACACGTGGCTGAGCAAATTTACTTTCCTCACCCGCGGTCACATCTGTGCCGTGTACCTTTCTGAAGCCTGCCGAGGTCTACGCCGTCCGAACGCCTTCTGTTTACTCACAAGCGTCACCAATTGTGTGCTCTTCATTTATATTCCCTATCAATACACACGTGATTTGGATCCTCTTGAAGATAAAAGTATAATTTGTTTTTAGCAATATATGTTAGCGTCAGCAACTTGACGTCAGCAACCCTATCTATGTAGGCCAAGATGTATCTCTAGCCATATTACATACACTCAGTGAAAGGTCTGCTGGAAATTATTTTACAGGTTCACTTTTAATTAAATGGACTTGACTCCCGAGACTCCCTGTAAGGGGGCACGCCTTTCCTCCTCCCCTGGTACTCTTTGTTGCAACCCCAGTTCCAAAAAAGTTGGATAAATGGTTAGCACTTCTGCCTGGCAGGATTAGGGTCATTGGTTCCCAACCACAGCACCACCTGCCTGGAGTTTGCATGTTCTCCCTGTGCCTGCGTGGTTTTCCTGCGGCTGCTCCGGTTTCCTCCCACACTCCAAAGACATGCCGGTAGGTTAATTGGCTCCTGTCTTAATTGTCCCTAGTATGTGTATGTATGAATGTGAGTTAGAACCTTAGCTGCCTCCTGCCCGCCATGTAAGGTAATGACGGGCGCAAGGTGGTTCTCTCGTTCTGGGAGGATGCGCAGCACGGCAGTTGGTGGTGGGCTGTGTCCCTGGTACACAGCGGATCACCGATCAACGGAAAGAGCCAATGCCGTAGGCTCTGTCATGTGATCAGCTGTGTCCAATCACAGCTGATCACATGTAAATAAGGAAATGCCGATTATCGGCATTTCTCTCCTCATGAGCTGTCACGCTGACAGAGGAGAGCAGAGCTGGTAATTGGCTTTACTCAGAGGGGACATGCACTGATCATCAGTGTGCCCTGATCAGTGCCACCTGTCATTGCCCATCAATGCCACCTGCCAGTGCCACATCAATGCCACATATCAGTGACCATCTGAGCTGCCTTTCAGTGCTGCCTATCAGTGCCATATATGAGTACTGCCTTTCAGTGCCCATCAGTGATGCCTGTCAATGCCCATCAGTGCCACCTACCAGTGCCTCCTTATTTGTGTCCATCAGTGCAGC